CCCACCCAAACACCATCAGCTGTGTCACCTTCTAGATTACAGAAAAATTTTGTTGGGCTATCTTATGTGGACAGCACCATCCCAAGTGTTGCCGCTATGGGGAATAGAGGGAAAATGCCCCTGACACACCCAAACATAATCCCACTGGGTGCTAGGGGAATTGATCAAGTAATGTTTGAGTAAAATTTTAGGGGGTCAGGTTAACAACCCCATTCCGGTGTTTGATCACAATCCACCCAAGGCTGACCCAAAAGACATCGCCCAAGTACTACGAGTGCATTTTGGCATGAATCCACAAATGGTGAACAGGCCGATGTATCAAAGATCTTTTCTAGAGAGAGTTATCAACGAACACCCTCTACCGAGAAATTATAGGCCGCCGGATTTCCATGCCTTATCTAGAAAAGATGGTTCGTCAACCATAAAGCATGTGGGTCATTTCACGGCCCAATTGAGGAAAGTCGGTAACAATCCTTTTTATAAGTTACAATTGTTTGGATTGTCCCTAACTAGATTAACATTCTCTTGGTTCGCTAACCTCCCAACCGGACAAATCCAAACCTGGGAGGGTTTGGAAGCAGCATTTCATGCTAGATTCTTTAATTCTCTTCCGATGGTATCACTCACGGATTTGTTAGAAATCAAGCAGATGCCAGAAGAAATAGCGTACCAGTTCATTGAACGAATCCGTTTGATGAAAGGTCGGTGTCCGACTGTGATTGAAGAAAGCAAGATGACCAATTTGGTGGTCTGAAATATGCATTCACGGCTACGGGAAGCTTTAACAGCACATGATGTTGGAGATTTAGCCAGTTTGGCCGCTAAATCTGGTCAGTCGGAGTCCTTGTTTAAGGAAAAGGATTAGAATTACCGGCGACATAAAGCGCAACAAATGGCCAATGTGGAAACGGAAGTCTATTTATCAGATGTCGAACAGACCAAGAATGCGGAGGAGATGGCAGCTGAGATTGTACATGGAAAATCATATGTATGTCCCAATTTGAAACCGATTTTGGGGACGGAAGAGAAAGATCAACCTACTTTTGACGCATCTAAAGCAGATGAAATATTCGACATTCTACTGGACAACGGGCAAATTCGAATCCCGAAGGGACAATGATTAGCAACAAAAGAAGAAATAAAATGGAGGTCATATTGAAAATGGCATAACTCTTTTACTCACTACACCCGTCAATGCACGCATTTTTGAAAGGAAATTCAAAGGACTATTAAAGCCGGACGTTTCAAATATGTCACCATGGGAGTGGAACAACAACTCTTTCCAAAGGTAACTACTGCTATGACTTATGTTCGTCTTTCAACGGATCATTGGAGGGAAGACGATGAAGACACAAAGAGAAGAGAACGCAAGCCCAAGGAATGGGTGGAAAAGTCGATATATAAGTTCAAAATTTGCGAGGGTCGGGTTGCAGAGAAATGGGATAAGGTGGATGACACTTTTGAAGTGGAAGTGAAGGATCAGGCAATGGTTCGCGACCAACTGACCCGCAAACCTAGGCAGATGCATGAAGGATGGAACAGGAATCAGAAGCCATTTTCGATTGACATATATCCGCGGTTTCCAGGTATGAATCGAACTCAAATTCGTAATGCCAAACGTAGATATGCGGCTAGACACGGGAAACAATCATGGAAGCGATGACCAAAACCACCAAAAAGTTCACCCGAATAAAGAAGTGAAGAAGGCTATCTACTCAGGCAAAAAAAAAAGAGAGGCCAATTAAGAAGACTCGGTGTTTTCGTTGTCAATTCTGTAGATGAATTAATATCGATCCAGTGATAGAAGAAGTTAAAGAGGAACCATCTAATGTGGTTTTTGGATCATTTTCTCAAGATGAGATGAAAGGATTACGCAAAGGGATCCAAAACACGGGAGGAACAGACAGTACGCCATTTCAGGTTGGGATGACTGGCATGCGTCGGTTTGAAGAGGAAGAATGGGCAAGTTTGGATGATGGTTATATGGAAGAACCAGAATGGGCACAGATAGCGATGGATCCCAATTTGGTGCTAGAATTAGCCCCACCAATGATCTTCCCACCTTTGCCCGAAGGTGCGATCCCTTATTTAAAGCCATTATACGTAAGTGCTCGCATTTGTGGAAAGCCGGTTAACAAGGTTTTTATTGATAATGGAGCTATTTTCAACATCATGCCTCTGAGAACCCTCAAGAGGCTTGGAAAATGAGTTGGAGATCTGTCTCCGGTAGATATTGAGATGACTAGTTTCACGGGGCAACCGACCAAACCAGAAGGCATGTTGGTCGCTCCTATTGAGGTGGGGGCAAAGGTAATTTCTATAGTGTTCTTTGGGGTGGATGCAAAGACTACTTACTCAGCATTGTTAGGAAGGGACTGGATTCACGCTTCCAAATATGTTCCCATATCACTCCATCAGCAAATAATATTCTGGGAGGGGGATCAGGTCTACAAGTTGGATGCAAACCAAAACCTCTTTGATGCCTCAGAAAACGTGGAAGAATCAGTGTTGTATTCCGAGTACGTACCCCCTATCTCCCAAACAGCATTGTTTGAGCAAGGAAAACTATGGAAGAGCTGCAGGCTTACCACCCAAGGTTATGTGTTTCAATAAGCAACATCCGTCGTGTTTTAGTGGCTCTGATGTTAGCCAGACTTCTGAATTTTTATTCTTACTTTTATGGAAGAATTCAATACGTGTGATGTTTTAATTAAAAATTTTTATTTAAACCAAATAATGGTTAAATTACGTAGCTATGGGGGTTGGGATAATTATGTTGCTGAAGGCGAAGGTTTTTGTTGGCCAGATCTTCTAGAAAAGAAAAACAGAATCTTTCTTGTCTTCACAAGATCCACTTATTGAATACAACCTAGGAACCGACCAGGCACCTAGAGTGGTTTGGGTGAGTGGCTTATTATCCAAAGAACAGCAGGAACATATGATAGCGCAAATACGGAGAAATATGGAATGTCTAGCATAGGATTATTCAGAAATGCCCGGATTAGCGTGGAGGTTGATTGAGCATCGGTTGCCCATCAAAAATGATTTCAGGCCATACAAGCAACCACTCAGGAGAATCAGTCCTGAACTACTCCCTCAAATCAAAGAGGAGATCGAGAAGTTATTGAAAGTAGGCTTCATCCGACCTTGTCGGTATGCGGACTGGTTGGCAAATATAGTTCATGTAACCAAAAAGAATGGAAAGATCAGGATATGCATCGATTTCAGATATCTTAATTTGGTAACTCTTAAAGACGAGTATGTTATGCCCGTGGCAGACATGCTAATCGATTCGACTACCGAATATAAGATTTTAAGTTTGATGGATGGATATGCAGGATATAATCAGATTTTTTTGGCACAACAAGATATCCCAAAGACCTCGTTCAGATGCCCAGGGGCATTGGGAATTTTTGAATGGATGGTAATGCCTTTCGAGTTGAAAAATGCAGGGGCTACATATCAACAAGCTATGAATACCATCTTACATGATCTTATTGGGCAATCAATGGAAGTGTATAGTGATGACGTGATAGTGAAATGGGCCGACTTCAGCACACACTTGGGTGACCTTGAGAATGCCTTTGCTCAGATGAAGAGGTACAACCTTAAAAGATGAATCCAACAAGGCCAAAGTAGTCCGGGCAGTTCGGCCGCCCCGAACCATCAAGGAGGTTCAAAGTTTCCTGGGAAAGGTAAATTATTTGAGGCGATTTCTATCAAATGTTGCAGGGAAACTAAGACCCATTACCAAGTTGTTAAAAAATAAAATAGCCGATTTGGTTTAGGGTTCTGAGCAATATGAAGCCTTTGAAGCGATCAAGCAGACGCTAACAGAACCCCCTGTATTGGTTCCTCCAAAAGGTAACCGACATTTTAGATTATATGTAGCGAATAGTTTGGATGTGGTGAGTAGTATCCTGGTCCAAGAATGGGACGATGGAAAAGAAAGGGCTATTTACTATTTGAGTAAGACCTTGGTAGGGCCTGAGTTAAATTATACGATGCCAGAAAAAATGTGTTATTCTCTAGTGTTCGCTTGTACCCGATTGGAGCATTATATCCTACCAAGGGAAACTGAAGTGGTCTCCAAAGTGGACTTGGCCCCCTTTTCTTTAAAATACAGACCTCTCAAAGCAGTGAAGGCTCAAGTGGTGGCTGACCTATTGCCAAAGTTTACTAGAGGTGAGTCTGAGGCCGAGGATAATGAACTAGTGCCTTATATAGAAACTAACCCCTGGAAAATGTTTTTCGATGGATCTCGGGCAAACGGAAGATCAAGGGCAGGAGTAATTTTGAAAGGGTCTGACGCACAAAAGATCCTGCTATAGCTACATATGGAGGATGTGACCCACAATTCAGCTGATTACAAGGCATTGATTTTGGGGCTAGAGATGTTGGTGACAAAGAACGTTCAGTCGGTCGTCATTTACGGAGATTCACAGTTGATCATTAACCAAGTCTTGAGGCGATACATATGCAATTACCCTCATTTACGCCAATACAGAGACATAGTGCACCATTTATTTTCTAGAATCGCAGAAGTAACTGTCAAGCTCATCCCAAGAGCAAAAAATCAGCAGGCAGATAGTCTGGCCCAAGCTGCATGCAGACAGATTGATGTTGGAAATATTGATATGTCTGCAGACTGGAGAACCGAGATTATTGCTTATCTGCAAGCACCAGACCCATCAACACCTGTGGGGGTCCGTTTAAAAGCTTTGCGTTTTCAATTAGTTGAGGGAGTGTTATATAAGAGAACCATAGATGAGGTTTTGCTGAGATGTTTGGGTCCGAATGAAGCCTTGGAGGTGATGCAGAAGGTTTATAGTAGAATATGTGGAGCACATTAAGCAGGTCTTAACATGATATGGGCTTTTCATCGCATGAGTTTTTACTGGCCGAAAATATTTGAGGATTGCATCAAATTTGCAAGGGAATGCCAAGAATGTCAGAGACATGGTCCATTGAACCATTTGTCGTTGGTAGAGTTGCAGGCGATGGTTAAACCATGGCCTTTTAAAGCCTGGGCACTTGATGTTATTGGTAAAATCCATCCGTCTTCATTTAAACATCATTCATTGATTTTAGTGGCTACCGATTATTTTACCGAATGGGTCGAGGCAGTTCCTTTGAAGAATGTGACGCAAAAGGAAGTGATTGAGTTCGTGCTCAATCATATCATTTACCGGTTTGGCATTCCACATACTCTCATCACTAATCAGGGTCTGGTGTTCACAAACGAGAAGTTTGTAGAATTTTTGGCAAGTTTTCACGTGAAACTTCACCATTCATCACCTTACTATCCACAGGCCAACAGGCAGGCTGAGGCAGCAAATAAAATCATTATCAATATCATCCAAAAAATAATATAAGGGAATCCCAGGAAGTGGCATACGTTGTTGCCCCAAGCTTTATGGGCTCATCGGAACAGTAAGAGTTCATCTACAGGATTTTCTCCTTATCAGCTCACGTTTGGCCAGGATGTGGTACTTCCAGCCGAACTCAACATACACACCTTCCGAGTGGCTCACACTAATATGGACTACACGAAGGAGTATCAGAAAAGTATGATGCAACAGCTGAAGACAGTGGATACAGAACATATGGAAGCCTTGGAACAAATGATCCAACAGAATGAGGTGCGGGCACGATATTATAGGAGGAAGGTGTCTCTTCGAAATTTTTTGGAAGGAGATCTAGTATGGAAAAAAATATTACCCACGTACAAGAAAGTTTATCAGATGGGTAAATGGTCCCCGAATTGGGAGGGGCCTTTCATCATTCACAGAAAGATCGGGAACAGAGCTTTTATTATTATGAATCAGGAAGGGAAATTAGTACATGAAAATATTAACGCCAAGTATCTGAAAAGGTATTTTCCCACCTTTTCAGAGCACTGTCATTATTTTTTATTACAAGAAATCTAATAACCCTTTGAGGGTTTGAACCCACAGGAAGGGGTTTTATTCGTCATCAGAAAGGGTGACATAAACGTGATCATCTTCTGGTTCTGAATCTTCATCCCAATTTGCAGTAACCATTTCGGGTTCCTCGTCAAGGAGATCTTCTAGGTCGGGACGGTAACGATCCCATTGGTCTTGCATTTCTTGAAGGTCTTGTTCGGTGTGAACTTTCATATCTTGTAGAGAATGACGTTCTCGCTCAACAAGAACGCGCAATCTGGAAAGTATTGATCTTTGCTAACAGAAAAGGTTGTTCCGGTTAAGATCAGGGAGAATGGCCACGACAGGATGGTCTATCATATCCGTATGATGATCAAGGTCGGATATGCAAGTGAGAATGTCGGTGAGGGGTTCATAGCAGGTGGATACATGTTCCATTAGGTGAATCGTAGATGTATAATTTTCCTACCCCTGCCAGAAAACTTGAATTTAAAGTCGAGTTGCTTGAGCACTTGGATTAGGCTTTCAGCATGATGGTCTATAGGGTGTTTGCCCACAAAAAATGGTTCCACGGAACTTTCCCAGTTAGTGGCAAGGATACGAATTCGGGGAGAAGCCATGTGTTGGAAGGTACGAAGGCTTGTTGTGAGTTGTTCTTTCAAGGTTTGATTTAAATAGGCGATTCATGTTTTAATTCTGTGGTGCAAATTCTTGGATCAGTGATCAGAAAAAATATGATAAAATTAAGGTGAACAGTTACATTTATTTATATACAAGGTATGACATTTTCTATATCTACAAAAGGAGGGCTCTAAGGGCAGTTCGTAGGTCTGCCCATTTTTGTTCAGACCGGGCCGTTCTCCGTTGCTGAAAGGCCGCCTGGTGTTCTTGTACAAGTCTCGACCGAATGCCCGCTTGTAGTTGGCCATGGAGGCTTGCTTGGGTCTGGCGTTGTTTTGTTACCAGGCGACCCCCCTCTTGGATGCATCCGTCTAGAGTCTCCAGTTCTTTTTTAAGGCCTTCGAGTTCCTTCATTTTTTGGGAAATCTCGGCGGCCAAGTTGTGTCGTGCCTGCTGGAGCTCACTCAACCGGGTGGAGGCTTCAATAAAGTCTTATGTCACTTTGGCAGGGAAGCCTCAATAGCTGCAGTGTCGGGTGTCGGTTGAGACGGTGCAGAGTCAGATGCTGGAGGTCGGATTAGGGGAAGGTCGGCTTGAAGCTCGGTGATCCTCTCCATCTTCCGACTGAGGATTGGGGCTACCGCAGACTCAGCAGGAGTCTGCACCAGCAAGTCAATGGCCACTTGAGCTAGAGACTCAAGGTCTCCAGGACTCAAGTCGGCGAATGACAAGATGGCGCAGCGCATCACCACCGGTCGGGCAGGCGCCAGCAACGGCACTCTGGTGAGAAAGTTGATCTCACGAGTAGCCTTTTAAAACCAATCGGAATGATTAGAAAACTAACTTAAAGGTAATTTAGTGGAGTAATGTGGAAGTTACCTGATTAAGGACGGCCGTGGCCTTGGAAGGAGCCAGGAGAACCGGGGCCGGTGGTGGAGGACCAGGTCGGATCCTCGTCTTGGCGACCGATTTGGCGGCTGTAGAATGGGGACCTATAAAGCCCGGCTCCGAACCCTGAAGGAATCAAAGTTCAAATTGAGAAGGGTTGGAATTAGGAAATGAGAAAATGCAGTAGAGAGAAATGCTAACCACAGCTTCACGATTCTGGTTGACAGAGGAATCGCCCGACTCTGAGGAGGAAACTTCGACTGGTTCGGGGTGTTGGACTGGTTTGGGATTTTGGACTAGCCCGGGGTTTGCTTGGATTGGTTCGAGGGCCGGCAGGGTTGGTTCTGGGTTCGGCTGAACCAATTCAAGAGCCACCGACGGATAGTGGACAGTGGCAATTGGTTCGTCCATAAAAGCAACCGCTGCAGGTCCCTAAGACAAAGAGTATGAAGAGCATGACTTGAGCTATAGACAAAAATATAATCTTGCAATCAGTTCATACTCACCGGAATCATATTTGGTCGGGAAGAGGTGGAGGTCGAAGAGGAAATCTACCTCAATGTCGGGTCCTTCTCCCGACGAATCACGGGCAATTCCGCTGGTAGATTGGTCTGCTGCGAAGTGACCACCGCAGCAGGCGAAGAAGGAACAGTCTGTGTTCAAGGAAAAAGGTGAGGTTAGTAAAAATACTTTTTAGAAGGTAGAGGAGTGTGGAGAAATTACCTCTCCGGCTGGTTGGTCGGCTGGCGGGTCGGCTGGTTGGTCAGCTGGTGGGTCGGCTGGTTGGTCGGCAGACTGGTCGGCTGGTTGCTCAGCAGCTTAGGGAAGAGACTCTGGAGACAAGAATCGTCAGAAGCACATAAGATAAAAACAAAAATGAAGGTTGAGTTAGGTTAGTCTTTACCGAGGTATCGACGCACATTGTGGCAACCAGGCGGGGTCCATATGTAAGGTCACCAAGTAGTCCTCTACCGTCTGCCGATCGTACGCCGGCTCTGTGGTGGCCTTGGTTCGGGCGGCTCTCTTTCTCTCCGGGGCATTGGGGCCTTCAGCAGTAGCCGTCCGCCTCTTCTTGGGAACGGCTGCATGGGGTGGAGAGCCCAAGGCAAGGGCTGGAGGGGGGATGAGTTTCCCCAACAACTGGTCAGAAGGAGGGGCCACCACAGCCCAGGTGGCCGACCACCAGAAAGGAAAGCCTTCAACCGACTGGGGGTTTCAGCAGAAAAAAATGTAAGAGTTGGACGTGAGATAAGAAGAAACTTGGGAAAGGCAAGGCAAAATTAAGGAAGGGATCACTTGCCCGTCGGGAATTTGGGTTATTAAGTGAGGTCGGGCGAGTGGACCCGGCAGACCTTGACAGCAGCCGAACTTTCGGGACAAAAATTGCGGCTGATAATTAAGAGTATAAAAAGACTTATAATTTTTCTTATCAAACCTAGGACTGGAAAAAAAAAAAAAAAAAAAAAAAAAAAAAAAAAAAAGATTGGGGTTTGAGGCCGAATCCCAGGAATAGGGATAGATCGGATGAGGTAAGGGATCTGGATATGGATGGGGGTAATCGGTATTCGAATAGGGCCAAAATAGCTCGGTGGTGTACTGTACGTAAGTCTCATAAACAAAAAATTTTGAGTTACTACGGTTATCCGAAAGAATGGCCGCAACTACGGGGTCAGAAGGATGGAGTGTGGAATAGTTCGGGGTGAGTTGGGAAAGGGCTAACCCTAGCGACCTCTGAGGGTTCGAAGATACGGGTAGCCGACCAAAAAAGGCTTTTGAAAAATAAAGCCGTAGCCAAAGCTCAAGGAACCAAAAAGGGCCTGAAGCAGCAGTCTCCGCCCTTTTAGTGTCCAGGAGGCGGACACTGACTCTAGATAAACCCTTATATAAATTGGCCAAAAATAGGGTTCCCAATGAAAAGAATCGGCCATTGGCCAGATGAATAGCTAAATCTAATTGCGAGGTCAAAACTGATTTGGAGGGAGAAAGAATTATGTATAGTATACAAGGATAATTCAAATTTCGAATAAATATATATGTAAAATTGACCAGGCAAAGAAACCCACGTACCTGCACAGCCAGAACAGAAGGAATGCGGTGTGCTCTAGGACCGTCGCTGGGGAACCGTCCAGCTTGATGTCGAACAACAAAATGGGTCCAGCCCCGATCTTTTTCAAATGTACGGGCAAGCGACCAGCCTTCGTGGTCAAGTTCTAGTTCCTGACCATCCAGCGAGCCTGACACCGGATCATCACCAACAACAGGGAGATGGGCGATCATAGCCACATCCATCAAGGTTGGGCTAATCGGGCCAGTTAGGAGAAAAAAAATGCCCAGTTGGGCATTCCAAAAGGCCGCCATGGCCAAAAGGACTTTATCATTGAGGTACAAGGGTTGAGTGGAGAGGTAAATGGCCTTGTCGATCCCCTGTCATCTCCGCTGCTCACCAAAAATAGGGGATAACCTGGAATACCAGGAATGAAAGGCATCTTTCGGATCGGTAAGATGGGTTTTGATGTGGTCATTAACACGTTCATGTTTGAGATCAGGGTTATTAATGGCTAAGGGGGTGACTGAAGATATGATGCTCCTCATGCGAGAAGCATCCTCCGAGGAAGTACAGTAGAGGCGAAGAGTTGGGATAAGAACGACGGTGGAAACTAATGGGATTTTTGGATCAGAGCCATCGAAAGGCAAAGTTGGGACGTACTAGTTGGCCATGGTTGTAAAAGAATGAAGCTCGAGTGATAAAAGAAGGAGGACGTTTAGCGAGAGGAGAAAGTGTATTTGGAAATGAGAATTCGTAAAGAAAAAGCCGAAAGTAGAGGGGTTTTAAGTAGGGTTTTTTACAAAACCATGTGATTAGACAGCCTAATAATGAACATACTCTAACAACGTGACATGTCACACTGATCGAGAAGTGACGGTAGGGAGTCGGGCGGGGGGAGACAAATTGTTATATATTAAAATATTTTAGAGTTTTTATTGGGCCTATAACTGGATTCCAACGTTTGGGCCCACAAATAAACCCAAAAAGAAAATAGGCTTTCGAACGCCCATTGAAAAAACAGGTCGGTCAATCAGTCGCTTGATGGGTCAAATATTCATTTCAATTATAATTTAATTATTACTATTTGTTAAGGTAAATATAATAAAATTGTTTTGTTGAAACGTGACTTGGATTTAGCGGTCTACTCGACCCTAAACCAAAGCGAAAGGGCTATTTCAATTGGCAGGGTTCCTTTTGGCTTATCCTAATTAATAACAAATGGGCTTAGGGTTTAGGGTGTTTTAGGGTGCTTATAAATAGACAACTATGGTTCTTAGTCGGATGACATATTGTAAATCTCTGAATCAATATAATAAAATCTCTCCGGTTCCTGCCCGTGGACGTAGGTTGACACACCGTCACCGAACCACGTAAAACCTCTGTGTTCTTTATTTGCTTTATTTCTCGTTTCTCATAACAAGTGGTATCATAGCCATATCTCATTGATTGAAGATGTCCTCGTATAAGTTTGATCTTGAGAAGTTTAATGGGTCGAATGACTTCACGCTCTCGAAGGTCAAGATGAGGGCACTTCTGGTTCAACAAGGATGTGCAGCTGCGTTGGAGGGAGAAGACAAGTAATGAGGAGGTAAATAAGGAGATTTTGGCAATGGTTCATTCCAAGATCTTGCTGTTAGTTACTGATGAGGTGTTACGGGAGGTTGTAGATCAGACAACGGCTTTTGGGTTATGGAATAAACTGTGTGAGAAGTACCAAAACAACTCTCTCACGAACAGGCTATATCAGAAGCAACGTCTTTACACCCTCCGGATGTCCGAAAGTACTCAGGTAAAGGATCATCTTGATACCTTTAACCGTATCATTCTTGATCTTCAAGGAGTTGAGGTTAAAGTAGATGATGAAGGTCAAGCCCTAATTTTATTGTGTTCACTACCTGGTTCATATGAGAATTTTGTAGATACTATGCTATATGGTAGAACTACAATTTCTGTTAATGATGTGAAAGATGCCCTTATGTCCAAAGAATTAAAGAGAAAGGTTTCTCTGGAAGAGGGTTCTGGTTCAGGTCTGTTTGCAGGTAAGGGAAGACCACAGGAGAGGGGTAACGGGAATGGGAGGTCGCGTTCAAAATCAAAATCCTCTAGCAAAGTTAAGTGTTATCTTTGCAAGAAGAAAGGGCACGTTAAAAGGAATTGTCCACAAAAGAAGGGAAATACAAAAGTTGATTCTAGTAACAGTGGCAGCAGTGCTGCTATGGTACAAGACAGTTCTGATGATGGGGACTTTGGTGAAGTTCTGACAGCGTGTAGTGCTAGTACTGCTGATTCCTGGATTATGGATACCGGTGCTTCTCACCATATGACGTTCTCTCATGATCTACTCACTTCTTTTAAGGAGTGGAATGGAACGGTGAAGTTAGGTGATGATGGGGTTCTAGCCATAAAAGGGAGCGGGATAGTGCAGATAAAATTGCATGACGGTACTGTCAGGAAATTTGACTGTTGGTATGTTCCTGAACTCAGAAAGAATTTGATTTCTCTTGGTACCTTAGCCAAAAATGGTTTAAAATATCATGGTGAAGATGAGTGGGTGAAAGTCCTGAAAGGTGCTCTGGTAATGATGAAGGGAAAACTGCAGCATGGAATTTATTTTCTACAGGGCAGTTCAGTGATGGGAACGGCGGCGGTATCCTAGTCCTTGGATAAACATGATGACATGACAAATTTGTGGCACCGGCGATTAGGTCACATGAGTGAGCTAGGGTTGTCTGTGTTGAGCAAGCAGGGTTTATTTGGTGGGGATGTGATAGGTAAAATTCAATTCTGTGAGGCTTGTGTCAAAGGAAAGCAACGCAGGGTGAGGTTTAGTACCGGTCATCACACCTCAAAAGAAATTCTGGAGTATGTTCATTCAGATCTATGGGGTCCCTCTCCGGTGAAATCGCAGGGCGGGTGTTCTTACTTTGTCACTTTCATAGATGATTATTCGAGAAAAGTCTGGTTGTACTTTCTAAAGACTAAAGATGAGGTGTTTGAGAAGTTCAAGGAGTGGAAGACCATGGTTGAAAAACAGACGGGTAAACATGTCAAGACTCTAAGAACTGATAATGGGTTGGAGTTCTGCAACGCTCCATTTGATGATTTCTACAAGAAAGAAGGTATAGTGAGGCACCGCACTCTACGACACACACCACAACAAAATGGAGTTGCAGAGTAGAATGAATCAAACCCTCATGGCGCGTGCTAGGTGTATGCGCATATTTGCTGGCTTATCTAAGCAATTCTGGGCTGAAGCAATAAACATTGCTAGCTATCTGGTTAATAGATCTCCATCAACTGCAATTGACTTAAAGACTCCTCAAGAGGTATGGTCCGGTAAACCCTCTGATTACTCTAATCTAAGAATATTTGGATGCCCTGCATACGCTCATGTGAATGATGGTAAGCTGGAGCCGAGGACGGTAAAATGCATATTTCTAGGGTATGCAACATGAGTAAAAGGTTATCGACTGTGGTGTACAGAAGGTAAAAATCCTGGTAGATTTCTTATTAGCAGAGATGTAACCTTTGATGAATCTGCTATGCTTGATCAGAGTAGAGGTTGTGAAAGTATTGCAGGTACAAAAGATTGTGGTACTAACCAGAGGGTGGAGTTTGAGACTCCTGACAGAGTTGTGTTAGAGGAAGAGCAGCAGGATAATACTATTGATCAATCCGATCAACCAGATCAGTCAAAACCTCAAGGGAAACCGGTTGAGGGGGAAGCTGATGACGCTGGTACTGGGGTTGAAGATTCCATAGCAGCAAGAAAGGGAAGGAGAAATATTCAGAAACCAGCTAGGTTTGCAGGATGTGTCAATACGTGTGACATGAATTCTATTGCTTATGCACTAGCGGTTGGTGATGATCTTGGCTCTGATGAGCCAAAGACATATAAAGAAGTTGTGGCGAGTAAAGATGCAGAAACCTGGATTATGGCAATGAATGAAGAGATGCAGTCTCTTGAAAAGAACAAGACTTGGGATCTTGTTGCACTACCAAAAGGGGTGAAGCCAGTGGGATGCAAGTGGGTCTTTAAAAGAAATGAGGGAATTCCTGGTGTTGAACCTGCTAGGTTCAAGGCGAGACTGGCGGCAAAAGGGTTTTCACATAAGGAAGGAATCTATTACCATGAAGTCTTTTCTCCTGTGGTGAAACACAAAACCATTCGGGTTCTTTTGGCAATGGTGGGTGCTTTTGATCTGGAGCTGGAGCAGCTTGATGTAAAAACAGCATTCCTTCATGGTAATCTAGAAGAACAGATTTACATGTCTCAACCAGAGGGGTTCTACAGTTCTAAAGGGGACCAGGTATGCTTGTTAAAGAAATCTTTGTATGGCTTGAAGCAGTCTCCGAGGCAATGGTACAAGAGATTTGACTCATTCATGGTGTCTAATGGTTATACTCGTAATCAGTTTGATAACTGTGTTTACTCGAAGAAAGTTTCTACTGATTCCTTTGTGTATCTGCTGTTGTATGTGGATGATATGTTAATTGCAGCTAAAAACATGGCTGTAATTAATGACTTGAAGGCTCTACTAAAGGGTGAGTTTGAGATGAAAGATTTGGGTGCGGCAAAGAAAATACTTGGTATGGAGATCTGGCGTGATAGAGAAGCAAGACGGCTATGGGTTTCTCAAGAAAAGTATATTGAGAAAGTTTTGCAGGCATTCTCTGCTGATCAGTCCAAACCGGTAAGTACCCCTTTGGCGGTACACTTTAAACTTGATCGAAGCACTATACCGGCTACAGATGAAGAGGTTAATTACATGAAGACGGTTCCATATTCAAGTGCAGTTGGAAGTCTTATGTATGCGATGGTATGCACGAGACCGGATCTCGCTTATGCGGTTAGTGTGGTGAGCAGGTTTATGGCTAATCCAGGTAAAGCTCACTGGGGAGCTGTAAAGTGGATCTTGCGATATTTGAAAGGAGCGTCTGATATTTGTCTGGTATATGATGATAAAGGCCATGGTGATGGTCTTGTTGGCTATGCAGACTCTGATTACGGGGGTGACTTGGTGAAACGAAGATCACTAACTTGTTTTATCTTCACTCTGTTTGGATGTGCAGTCAGTTGGAAGTCTACTTTACAACCTACGGTTGCACTGTCGACGACTAAGGCGGAATACATGTCAATGACTGAAGGTATTAAGGAGGGTATCTGGTTACATGGTCTGGTGCAGAGTTTGGGTCTGAAGGTGGAGAAACCGGTGTTATTCTATGATAGTCAAAGTGCTTTGAGTTTGGCTAAAAACCCAGTGTATCATGAGAGAACCAAACATATTGATGTAAGGTTGAATTTTATCCGTGATGTTCTGGAGGAAGACAAGTTTTCTATTCAAAAAATAGCTACAAAACACAATCCAGCCGATATGTTGACAAAGGCGCTACCGACGGAGAAGTTTGAGCACTACTTGAACTTGGTGAATATTCGCAGGAGGTAAAGCCCTCTCGGGGCATCTGGCAGGAAGGAGACGACTGAGAGATACTGACGAACCTTTGGCGGTTGGAGAAACTCCAAGTCAAGGTGGAGATTGTTGAAACGTGACTTGGATTTAGCGGTCTACCCGACCCTAAACCAAAGCGAAAGGGCTATTTCAATTGGCAGGGTTCCTTTTGGCTTATCCTAATTAATAACAAATGGGCTTAGGATTTAGGGTGTTTTGGGGTGCTTATAAATTGACAACTATGGTTCTTAGTCGGATGACATATTGTAAATCTCTGAATCGGTATAATAAAATCTCTCCGGTTCCTGTCCGTAGACATAGGTTGACACACCGTCACCGAACCACGTAAAACCTCTGTGTTCTTTATTTGCTTTCTTTCTCGTTTTCTCATAACATGTTTATTATAAGTAAATTGTACCGAAAGACTTTACCATTAAACTATATTTAATTTTTTGTTATTATTTGGTAGTTTATATATATATTATATATTAATTTTAAAAAATCAAGTCGGGTGATTTATTCAAACAACGGGTGATTTATTCAAATCCCAACCCTACACGTGGCCTGCCCAAGACATAGAGAGAGAGAGAGAGAATAATCCGTCCGGTCCGATATAGTAGACGACAATTCGAAGCAGGGGCAAAACACAACAGTTGAGAATTAATTACAGCTTAATAGTAGTAGTAGTATTCCAATCCAAAATGACTAACTAGCTGGGCAGGCATTAGGCAAATTTTATGTTGCCGCATTCGGACAACAACATTCCTTCATTCATCACCAACCAACCAACCAACCAACCTAATTGATCCTCATGATCGACGTCTTGATTTTATCAATCATCTCTGCAGCAGCTGACTCCCTCGCAGCACCCGGCGTCGTCCGCTCCGACCTGCCCTCCGAATGCAGCAGCTCCAAATCCTTCCCTTGAACCACCACTTGCGACCAGAATTTACCTTAATTCATGATTACAACAATTCAATCAAACACTTGTTATTAACTAAATAGTCGACCAAATCTGCGAGTCATGTCTTGTCTTGTATCTTACCAGGCGACGACGGCATTGTGATGTACCTCGGCATTCGCCACTTATTCTTGGTGCAACAGTACTCCAAGTCCTGTCCATCCCACAAACATTACACTTTATTATTATTACATGGAAGTAAGTCTAAGTTGTTGCTTAAACCAAGATTTGTTGTTCTCACTTCACATGAAGACGTCCCAGGAAGAACAACTCGTCGATTACAATTTCCGGTTTCTTGGCTTGGATTTCCGTGCTTGACATCGACATCCCCACTCAAAATAGACTCAATGCATCGCCGAGCTAATGCCACTTCACCCCCTGAGACCAACCGACAATGTTATAGATTATTATTCACTTCTAGAAGCTTAATTAGTTCCTACAAATTTGCATAATAATACCGCCTCTTATTCTTTCGATTCTGTCTTCATACAATGCCAGCATGTCTTCAAGATTGCAGATTTGGGAATGCTGAGTGTACGCCACAAAAATTATTACGTATTGCCCCAAAACGTGAATATCAATCATGTAAGAAAATCGAAATGTGAAAATAGGATTATTACCAGTTCTTGTCTCTTTCCTTGAAGAAGTACCAGAGCATTTTGCAATTCCTTCGACTCCGGTGGATTGCGCTGTGGTCTGAGATTGGCATTGGCATCAAATAGAGCGAGCTGATTCCCGATCGACGGATGATGGTCTGAATTCGGACTGTCCGTCACAACAACCTTAAACAGAAAGAGTAATACATTTGTGAGCACAACATAAAGAAACAACACCAAGAATCTTTATGTCCAATTCCTGCAAGCATCGATGATTGTCTTCCTGGTTCTTACCTCACCGGGGCTCTGAGCACCCGCACTGCTCTGTTTAGCCAAAGTCTTCTTGTGCTGCTGCGGACGGACTCGGATTTCCTGACTGCCTTTCTTACTTGCACTGTCACGGCCCTGACAAATACTTGTGAAGAAATCAGTTGACGGTTGCGATTTTCTAGAAGAACTCGATGAGGATCTTTGGTAACATTCGACATTGCCTTCGCCTAAAGCAGTTCGGCTTTGTTCCTCCTTGACAGAAGAACTCAAGGTGTCGTTTCTTTCAGTGAATTTCTTCACAACTTCGGCATCGACAACAACCTCATCACTAGACATAAACAATTAAGGGTAGGTAATAGAAACATAATTCAACAAGATTGTATGTAATAACATGGAAAGCCAATGCCAATCCTATCTATTCCCTATATACCCCGCAAGCCAGTGGGAGATGAAGTCGATATAAGGAAGCATGTGATGATACTCGACGACTTCGGTAGTTTCCCACACCCCATAGAATAACTCCTTCGCTAAAGGCTCCTGCAGACTGCGGGCAGACATTCGAATTCAGTGATTAAGACGCGGCTTTTGTCCGAATGTAGTAGTTGGGATCAGAATTCACTAATTAAACATCGGACAGATTATTTACAACCAACCTATCGACGAGAAACTTCAAAGGAACTTGTTTGTTTATGGGGATCGAGCCGTTGTATTGCATCAGGAACAGCTGAGTAGCCGATCTACATTTCGTCAGAGAGTAGGTTACGTGAGTCGCCACAACCTCGAGCTTGCTCTTGTCATACCCTGTTCCATTACATTGCATACAAGCTGAGTGCGTTAAGGTTGTCGCGGAGACGACAATGATCGACCATGGAAAGTAAGAGCGCAGACATACCGGTGGCGTCGTAAGCAAGCTGATAAATGTCATGAGTTTGGGCGATCGATGAAGGATCTCTTGTCCTTTTCTTACCAGTTTTCTCTTGCTCTTTCCCCGATTCCCTCTCGTCGAGTTCCTTTTCTACGGGCGCCCAAACCCCCTGAGTGACGGATCCGTAGAGGAGCAGACAATTTTGCTTTTGGGCATCGACGATTAGGACAGCAACCTTGGAAATCGGCCAGGCTTCAACGTCTTTAGCGGCGTCCAACGCCACGGCGGTTTCGCAGGCGGCCTTTATGGCTTCCTCGGTTATGGAAAGTTGAGCCGGCGGTTCGTCTTCTTGCGTCGACCGGTTCATGAAGATCGCCATGGGCGGTTTCACTGCGACGGACAGCTTAGAGAAAGAGGTGAAATCGAGGAAGGGCAGGTCGGGATTGTGCTTCCGGTGGTAGTAATTGTACAGCAAAACGACGGCGTGCATCTGCCGGACATTAGAAACGCAAATGTAAGGAAGGAAGGCTGTAATAGATATATACATATATATATATTCACCTGTTTGGCGACGGCCATTTGGTTATGTCGGGAAGGTGGTGCAGAGGTGTTGGTGCGGGTAGTGTCTGTGTGATAGTCTTCGGCCCCGAGGGGGAGGAGAGGATCCACTAATCGGTTGATGAAGGCCTTCAGTACCTCCTCGTTCTCTGCTAACTCCATCTTCCCAACTTCGATTCGAATGTCGTCGTCGTCTTCTGTTTGTTCAATATACACGAAATGCTATTAAAATTTTAAGACCAAAGAAGAAGAAGAAGAAGAATAGAAGAGGTAACAAAACAGATCAGCCCTACCCGACCCATAAACAAACTACTGTCTTGTCTTAACTTTATGTAGTTTGCGTTTCTTCGTTTTGATTTGAGCTGCAAATTTTAATTAGTATATGAATTTTCATTTAAGAAAAAACTAAAAAAAAAATATGGGGTATTAATTTGTGATTCGAACACAAAATAAATACACTCTTTATTTATACGTGATATTTCCTAAATAAATTATAAAAAATATTATTATTGTCCGGGTCTAAACTCTCATTTATTTTTTTGCGTATTGATCTTTGAATATTAATTATTATATCAAAACTTAGTACGAATTAAAAAAAAAAAAATTGAAAAAATACTTTTAATAAAATAACATTTATATAAAAATTATGCAAATAAAAAATATTTTTAATGTTAAAATATAAATATAACCCTTAAAAACGGACTGAAAAAATTTAATGTATAAATATAAAACACTCTCCATCCATCCAAATATACATATATTTTATTATTTTCGTCGATCACATAATAATAATAATAATAATAATAATAATATATTCAGTAATTGTGTGCATCTCAACTTTTAATAAAAATACTTTTATTTTATTATATACTTATCATTATGTCACTAATTTTTTAAAAATATATATAGTTAAAATTATTTTTAATTAAAAATATTTTTATTTTAAAAAATTTTATATAAAAATTAAATATATATTTTAAACTAGACGGAGAGAATAATAAAAATACTTTTTATATTTTAAACTAGATGGAGAGAATAATAAAAATACATAAAATTTTATTTTAGGTAATATTGTTATTACCTTGCATATATCAAACAAAGTCATATATATATATATTTATTTATTATGTTATATTCCTTCAATCTCATACAATAATCTTGAGGGTGTTTGGTACAAATAAATAGAGACAAAAAAGTAAAAATATTTTTATTTTTCTTGTTTAGTTGAGACAATTAAAAATAAATTATTTTTTATTTTTTTGTTTTATTTTGTAATTTATGCAAGAAATAGAGATGAATAAAATAGAGAGAGATCAATATCTGTTTATTTATTTATTTTTTATATTTAACTTTTACGATTTAATTTGTAATTATTTGTTAATTCTTTTTACTATGATTTATTATTTTATAATTTTTATATTATACAAATCTCATAGAATTTCATGTTTAAATTATTATTAAAATAAATTATCAAACTAAAAATATAACGAAAAAGTACAATAATATTTTTATCTAATTTATTAATTTTTAGTGATCGATTGATTTTTTTTTTCAATTAGCAATATAACGTATTCTTTTTATGTCTTATATTTTTTTACATTTATCAACTTCAATTCTCTATTTTACGAATCAAAAGTTCAATTTTCATTCTTTACTCAAATTCTTTTATGTGCAATTTTATTTTCTACTATCATTTCTCTGCAATTTCATTATCTATACCAAACAAACCATTAATTTTTTAATTTTAAAATAATAATCTTATTTCCATTAATATTCATATCACCGTAAAATTATTTATACTTTGTTATTATTATTACATAAATACTACTGTTTTTTTTTGTGCACTAATACACTTAGAACGGTAAAAAAATAATAATAATAATAATATTACTTATATTTTTTTCAACTATCAATGTAATATAATTATTCTTTAAATCTCGTGTCCGATACAAATAGGATTATAATTTTGAGACGGAAGGAATACAAATATATATTCAAATTTTTTTGTCGTAAAAAAATACTCCTTCCCTTACTTAACAATCATCCCTTTTTCTATTTTGGTCCGTCCTATAACAAAGTATCAATTTTCTTGTTTAGTAACTGTACTATCTACCTAACATTAAAAATACCCTTACAACTTACAATATATTACACATATGTCATTACATTTATATTACACAATACTAATAAGGTTATTTTAATATTTTCTACTTTATTCATATTATATCATAGTATAATACTAATATTTCTAAAACTCTTTGTAAAAATTAAATAGATAAATAAATAAGGGACAAAAATAATATAATTTTTCAATAAAAAAAAATATATTATTACTTTTTATTTTCTAAATGAATAAATTAAAATTATAGTCAAACATTTGAACGGCAAAGAACTAAAAAAATGTAAACATTTGACACACGCATTAGCTCTCTTCACCGGTACCATTTTTCAATTGTAATTTTCAAAAAAATAAAAATAATAAATACAATATTTTATACAAAAATCAAAATATTAATTATCAAAAGTCAAAAAATTATTATAAAAAAAAATAAAAAATAAAAAAGCCATTACAAAGAGTTAAAAAATAAAATATTTAATTTAAAATAATATATTTTATATTTTTGATACAATTTTCTGTATTACGTACCAAAATTTTTTTCATCCAAAAACGCTGCATGAAGGGACTTATTATATTTTTTTATCTCAATCTTTTTTAATATTTTCTTATATTTAATATTTTTCACTAGTATTAAATTAAAAACACAAATGAGAAAATATTAAAAGGATTGTTTCTGTTGTTCATCCAATCAAGTATTTGTTTAATATATATAATATTTATATTTTATTTTCACAAAAAATAATAATTAATACAAAATGGTACTTATATATGGACACAAGTTTTCATAATTAAAATATATATTTTTTAAATTAAAATGCTAAATAAATAGATATTTTATATTTAAGTTTGAACTTTTAATTTTATTGGTATTTGAATATAATATATTTATTAAAAATCTTCTGAATTAAATAATAAAAGATAAAAAAAACAAAGATATATCTACTAACTTTTCAATTACTATCAAATGGTATGTTTCTTTATTCAAATTTCTCCAAATTTTATTATTTGTATTATGTATTTTTTAAAAAAAATATATTTATTTTTCATAAAACATTTTATCAAATATTATTTTAATATCAAATTTAAATTAATTTTTTTTAAACTCAATCAAAAGAAACACACTCTAATATTATTAACTAATTAAATATCATTATTTTAAATATTATATCACTAATAAAAAGAATCAATTATCACTAATAAGGGTGTGTTTATGCGGCCACAGATCGGAAATCATTGCTGTATATTTACTGTGCACTGCCGTTTGTCCGCGAAACCGCCGCATCTCCTCAACGGACAATATTTGCATAGTGCAGGCTTTTAGTTGTGTTTGTTTGTATTTTTTTCTTTTTCTTTTTCTTTTTTTTTTTAAATTTTAAATATTTAAATAAATAAAAAAATTACAATATATATATATGTTATTTCATAGAAAATAAAATTTATTATAATACAAATAAATAAAATTTTAAAACTATATATGTTGAATATAATATAAATTCATAATAAAATCATACTACTATTAATTTTATCAATTAAATTTAATACACAATTTATATTATTATATTTATTATCCATCAAATCAATATATATTAAAATTCTCCAAATTCAAACACAAAAAAGGCACAAAGATTCAAATATATCTTAAAATTCAAACACAAAAAAGGCACAAAAATTCAATATATCTTAAAATTCAAATTAATATCAAATTCAAACTTAAATTTCTCCAAACCGGCCTAGAAAAAACCCACCCTAAATAAATTATATTAATATAATAAAAATATAACATATTCCTTCCGTTCCAATACAGTAGTCTTATTTATTATTTTTGTCCGTCCCAAAACAATAGTCTCATTTTCATAAATATTCATATCAACATAAAATTATCCATACTTTTTTATTATTATTACACAAATGTCACTACTTTTTACACTAATGCACTCACAAGGACAATAAAGTCTTTTACTCATACTTTTTACCAACTATTAATATAATATCAATATTCATTAAATTTTGTGCTCAACCCAAATAAGACTGTAGTTTTGAGACGGAGGAAATATAATATAAGAACAAATAACCCATTGTAGTTTTGAGACGGAGGAAATATAATACAAGAACAAATAACCCATTGTATAAAAACAAAAATATAGTATAAAAACAAAATTATACTAATTATGTGAATATAATTGCAATTACATGACTAACCACACACAAACGAATAGCAAGACATAATTTTATACATTATATACTACTCTCTCCGTCCCATGTAATATGAGTGTATTACTGTAGACACGGGAATTTAGGTAAAGTATAATTAGTAAGTAATTAAGAAGTGTATTAGTAAAAATAATTATCATTTAGTAAAAAAAATATAGATTAAGATTAAGATAAATAAATAATTTAATTAAAATTATAAAAATTATAAAATTTAAAATATAAAATGTGATTAAAGTGCATGATTATATTTCCAAAAATAGAAAAAACAAGTTATGTGGGACGAACGAAAATAAAAAATAGAAACAAATTATGTGGGATGGAGGGAATACCATTTTGATTTCACCCCAAGAAAGTAGTCCTTTTTGTCGTTTAAATTTATTCTTAATTTTATTATTATTGTTTTTTTATCAAAGCTTATTTCTAATTTTGTTTTTAGTAAAAAAGAAAAATACCATTCTTTTAATTTTTTTTACTACAAAGAAAAAATATATTTTTACCAACTTTTTTTTAAATTTACGTTGGATCAAAATGATATAATTTTACATAAAAAAAAAGAAGTATATAAAACTTTTATTTATTTTTCCTTTCTTTGTGTCTATTATACATATACTTTATTCGTTTCATATTTATATATTTATTTATATTTTGTATAGAATTTTATAAATATTAATATTATATTATAATTTAGTAGAAGTAATGATAAAAAAAAATTAAATTGTTCTTATCAGTATTGTATGATATAAAAATAATGATATTTGTATAATATATTATAAATTAAAAAAGTACTTATAATATTAGATATATATAGTACAGCTACTAAAATAAATAAATACTTTATTATAATACGAATAAAAATAAAAAAACTATACTAAAATAAATAAATATTTTATTATAAAACGAATGAAAATAAAAAAAAAATAAATGAATAGATAATTAAGGGTATATT